CTCTGTCTGCCTGTCTGACTCTGTCCCTCTGCCTGAGTGTCTGCCTGTCTGACTCTGTCTCTCTGCCTGAATGTCTGCCTGTCTGACTCTGTCCCTCTGCCTGAGTGTCTGCCTATGTGACTCTGTCTCTGCTTAACCGTAACCTCTCTTTCTCTTTCTACCTGCCCTTCTATCGCCGTCCTGTCCATCTGTGTTTCTCTAGGGCAGTGTCCGAAAGCCAATGTTATGGATGTGTTCCTCAAGGTCTGTTATCGTCAGTCCGTTTAACCAGACGTGCTGTGAGGATCATTCTGTCTCTTTGTACGTCTGTCTGTCAGCAGTCACCGACTTATTCTTTAAATATCCAGATCTTTCCTTTGGAAATATCAGAATTCCAGTTTGCGTTGTATGTAGATGTTGTTATAAAATGTTTGGTTAGTTAAGTTTGTTTTAGCCATTTTTTTATATTAAGCATTAACTTTGCATTTGAATTCAAAATCTGTCGTTTAAACTATTGCCATGACTTTCCAAATAGCCCATTTCCGAATTACCCTGGGCCTCATTTTCAAAACGAGGCCTGGTGCTCATCCTTTCGTATGATAATAAGTTTTCATTCACTTGCAAATTAAACTCATTTTCACAAGAATGGTTGAGTACCAGGCCTCATTCTGAAAAAGAGGCCAAGGGTAATTCGGAAATGGGCGATTAGGACCGTCTTGTCTAACCTCCATAAGTAACGTGCTTATATTTTTCTGCTGACCCTGCCTTGGACTCACACCAAAGTTCTTGTTTTGGCTTACGCAGTCAAAGATTGGTTCTGTTGATCGGAAACCCTCCAGAGATTTAGCACCGCGTTTACGTGAAAAGGCAAACGTCAACTTGTCCTTTTACGTTTTGCGTAAGATGGCGTGAGCCTTGCTGCTTTAGCCTCGCGTAAGCTCAGGTCATGGTAGATTTGAAGGCGCATTTGAATGACCTATAAGGAGTAGTCTTGGTGCCCTCTTTTCCGGCAGTTAACTTTTACTCTGTGAGAGAAAGAGTGAAGAAAATCTTACGACCACGGCAAAGGCGAAACAGGCTACTTTCACGTACAAACGGCAAAGTGCAAATGGCTAACGGGAACAAATGGCGGGAAAACAAAATCACGTGGTCACTCTTGCCGTTCACGTTTCACGTAAACGGAGTGCTAAGTCTCTCTATTAAGTACGTTGATGCTCATTTGTGAGCTTTTTTGTAATAGTGTTTGAGTTAGAGAGTCGTTAGTCTTTGGTGCCTTTTGCAAGAGTGTGTTGCGGTCTGCCGCTTGGCCCTTCGTCATTCCGACCCAACAATAATTATGTTAAATCCCAACAAGTTTATCGTGCATATTGTTATCTTTACAGCTTCCTCTAAGCGATCCTACATTTGGTATAACCAAATTACTAGTGGAGCATGGTGCAGACATGACACTTGAAAACAAACATAGGAAAACCCCAGTACAGCTATGCAGAGATCCACGGCTCCGAGAGATCTTGTTACCCGAGGGTGCTGCACAAGAAGAGTGAGTAGAAATAACAGCCGACAGTCTTCTATCGACCAAATTCGTCACTTTCCCTGCGGTTCAATATCTTCCACCTCTAGTCATTCTTGTTCGTTAGTAGCTATATCTATTTTTTCTCTTTAATCGAACTAATGTTAGCCTAATGTAAGCTCTTCATATACTTATAGTTTTAAACGCCGCGTAAAATAATTAATAAGTTTTAAAATACCGCGTCGTACTCCTTCCAGCTCAGCTACCGAATGAGCAATGATATCGAATCTGTTTGTCACAAGCGAGTGTCAAGATTTAATAGAGGAACCGAAGTTACGAGCATCTTGCTACAGAGTACTCGTGATACAGCACCTTAGCTCCTAGTCTCCTTTGTACCTGTGATGTTACGTAAGGTGTAGTGCTTGACATGCTAAAAAGCGCGTTGCGTGACATCTCAAAGTAAGACTGTGAGGTAGACTTGGTAGCTCAGCGAAGTAATGTTTTTTTTCCTTGTTTTTTTTTTTTTTTCGGTCAGACCTTAGCTATGTGATCTTCTAATCTTTCCGACAATTGATTGTGCGTATGTTCGTCTTTTTTTTTTTGCAGTGCGACACGAAAAAAATCTCAGTCATCAAATGGCGCCTCTCCGTGTGCATCGTCGAGTTCATCGTCTGGCGTTTCCATGGAAACAGGCATTAAATGTCGCGTGTGTGATTTACCTGCTAATGCCATTTTTTCCCCATGTGGTCACGTGGTCGCTTGCATGGATTGTGCACCAATGCTTAAGAAGTGTTTTCGTTGTAAGGTAAAGGTCATAGAGCATTAAATTACTGCGTTGATTATACAAGAAAAAACGCAGTCACGAAAATTTAAACTTTTTTGCAGAGGGAATCTGGTCACAATTCTTGGCCACCTGGCAGTAATAACTTTGCCTCCTGTATGCTCTGTAGGCTGCGGTTGAGTCGTTTGCTAAAGTACAGCAGGAAGCGGAGAGTGTGGAATGTGTAGTGTGTTCAGATGAGCCTCCCTCCGTCAAGTTTGAACCATGTGGACATATGATAGTTTGTGAAGGTACAAATATTTTTTGACTGCGTTTCTTATACAATATTTCAATCCGGGATTGAATGATAGAAAATTTCTCTGTTGAGACAAAAGCTACGAGCTGACTTCCCCCACCCCCCTCCTCCCCTTCTGCCGTCTCATTCTAGTAAGATCGGAGAGGCTCCTTGAGACGGATATGGTTTTACAAATCATTATTAAAGCTAGAAATTGCAAATTTTGATTTTATCATATCTTCCTGTCACTAGGATGTGCTACACGCATGAAAAAGTGCCTGAAATGCAAGGGTGTTATTGAAAGGAAAATATCCAGTGGTGAGTTCACGAGATCTTACACATTTCACTTTGTTTTCCTAAGGAAGTGAGGATAAGGATTTTAAGGCTGTTATTTCGGAATTTTTTTTCGGACTAATCTCTGATGGAGTGGCTTTCGTTTTCACGCATTTCCAGCTGCATTAATAAAAGTCTAGTAGCTCGAAGGTAGTCGAGGGTTCTGAAGTGAAAATTTAAGGAAGTGCAGGGAATAAACAGCTGAGATTGAGATTCCAGCAACGTCATTGAGCCTGAGGCAAGCCTTGTAAATACCCAAGACAAACAACTTTTCCAGCGATTTTCTTAATATTTCCTCCAATTTTTTTTTCTCGTTTGTAGGACAAAACGCACCCGCTCAACCAGTAGAATTGAGCGAAAACGATGAAAAATACTTGGAAACACTCCAGTCCTTGCTGTCGCTTCAAGCTCATGTACGGGAGATAGAAGATGCCAACATGTGCGCCATTTGTCTTGAAAAACCTCGCAATATGGCGTTTCTGTGTGGCCACGGCACATGCGTAGAGTGTGCCACGTCACTGGAGGTGTGTCCTATGTGCAGGAAACCCATTACTAAAAAGATAACTCTGTTCAACTGAATGCACAGGAAACCCACCACGAAGACCATGGCGCTGTTTTTATGAATGGGATGCTATGGTAGTAAATTTCTTAGTCGATAAGCTTTTTGCAGTCAAAGATCACATGGTACAAACGAAAACCGGTATGAGGGCAAATCTTATGCAAGGATATTATCTTTATTGTGTCCAAAGCGTAAATTTGTTCTTCGGCAATGTGGGTTTTTTTTTTTTGTCTTTCCAGTGTGACCGATTACTTTAAAAGGCCCCTTTAAGTTTGAGCGGGATTTCAATTGCCAGTCTTGACTAGATCAAGATTTTTCTCCCAAGAATGCTTACCCAGATTGAGATAACACATTTGACATATATATCAAGGTGTGTTACTTTTGGGAAAACAAAAATACTCAAAGGTACGATCAAAAATGGACAGGCTGTCAATATGGTTCGGAAGCCTGTTCAGAAAACTGTTCTTTTCGACCTGAACATGGTTTGTGCTAATTAAATAAGTCTACCTAAAAATTGTACACAGGACTCGAGAAACCTTGGGATTCAACAGTCAAAGTCAAAGAACGAGTCACCACAACTTAAAAAATTTTACTGAAAAACATATTTGCATGGTGCTTACACTGGATCGTGGTTTTAGAAACCAAAGACGGCCTGTAATTCCTTGTAAGGAATTCGAGCAAATAACTATTTTGTTATCATAGTACTGAGACACTGTAGAATTTTACAAAAGAAGATATAATTCCCAGCCCTTGCCCCTAGATGTTCCGCGTTCACTCAGTATGGATCTACTATTCTATGTTGTTAAGCTACGCGCGGGCAAAGCAGTACGAGGAAAAGCTAAGGAACAGGGTAAGAAAAACCCTTTCGAGGTTTTTCAGGGATTGAAGAATCTAAGGGCTAATTTCAGAGATCTTAGGTTTATAAGTGTCTTTAACAAATACAATCCAAATGCAAGTTGTTAAATTATATTTATCGATATCTAATATCTCATTTGTCACTGATTTTAGCTGGACTTTTGATGTGGCAAGTGAACGACATTATCTTTTAATTTGAATATATCAACAAAGTTGAAATGGTAAATTGGCCACCGTTACGATTATAAAAGCTGACGTTTCGAGCGTTAGCCCTTCGTCGGAGCGAAGGGCTAACGCTTTCGCTCCGACAAAGGGCTAACGCTCGAAACGTCAGCTTTTATAATCGTAACGGTGGCCAATTTACCATTTCAACTTTGTTGATATATCCAAATTATTTCGTTACCCCCACCGACGCAGCCCCAAACAGTTTCTTTAGAAACTATCAGCCTTTAGACATTATCTTTTGACTTGTAAACACGGTGAAGTAAGAGGAGTAGTTTGACTCGTCCCCAGTCGTTTTTTGGTCTCTTAAGGTCGCGAGCGTGCTGGGAGCTAGCCTTAGTCGCATGCATAGAGGACAATGATAGGAAGGTGGTGGAGAGAAAGGGTAAACTATCGTTCCCATCTACCCCTGCACGCTTACCGTAGTGAGGACTGACAATGCAAATATGTTACTAATGATTTTAGTCAAGGAATTAATTGCCGGATAGACAATTTTGCCTTAATGTAATTTATCACGAAATTAATTCCTTTTTATAGAGGCTTAACGCCTAATTGGGAGCCTTTAAATATCTCAATAGCGCTAGAGAGTGGTGTAACCACGACGAAGTTTTAATGCATGTGCGGTTCTTTAGTTTTTAATTGAATAAATCTCAATGCACAAACGCATATGGCGACTCAGCCCAAGTCTGTATTAATGTAAAAGTTTGTCTTATTTCAACCATTCTTTGGATATCCTCCTCACGGGGAGCCTTTTCTAGGCCTTCAGTTAGTACAGCAGCGCAGGGAAAATCAATTGAGGGTCGGGTCAAGTCGCGTTGAGGAACCCAGACCTCCCTCGATTACGTGACCCGACCCAAACTCCCTCGCTTTGTCCCTCCGCCGCTCACAATCGCACTTCGTTTTAATAACTGATTGCCTGGAATAGGCAACAGCACGGGTTTAGTTGGATCATGAAGTGCGTCCGTTACAACAGGGATTTTTAAGTAAAAACTTCAAGTTGAGGTGAATAAACAAGGAGTTAGAGTTGAACGTTTATTTTTCACATCAAAAAATAATCTATGATCTTTTACACCAGTGTCTTTTGAATAATGTTACAAAACAAGACATGAATTTCATAATTTGTGTACGATTCTAATCACCGTTGCTGTATTCGTTATCTGCTATGACCGGAGATTTACACTGTACGATGAGAGGAAGATGGTTCGCAGAACTGATGAGAAGCTAATCAAGCGAAGAGTTTTCCTTCTGCTTTGTACTAGAAACTTAAACTTGCAATTATTTGGTATCATTACATTTATCCAAAGTATTCGATATATTCGCCATGCTTTATATTTTATCATGATATTTTAGCCTACCAAGCTTAAGAACCTACTGACTGCCCCAGTTGCTCGCCTACACGGGCTGTAAATGCCAGTTATATGGTTTCCTTGGGAAGGGATTTCTTTCATTCTACTAATGGCCATACCGTTTTAATTTAACTGGATATCAATTTTTTAGTCATAACCCGTGATTATCTACGTCAATCGGTTGCCCCTGAATTTCCCTAAATAATGCGAAAGAAAGGCCTTTCTTGTCCAACTGCTTTGAGGATTTTACTAAAGAAAGACATAAACGAAAACATTCCGATCCCATCGTAAACATTAACTATGGAGCCATGAAAGAAAAGTCCCTTTTCTTAAAGGCCTCGGGAGAAAAGGCCCACGTCGTCCCTTTTTATCCTGCAGAAGTAATCTAAGGCCCTTGAACCGTAAATGATCATCGTGAGACCTTTTATACTGTAGACCGGAGCCGTTTCAGGCCCTTTTACATTAGGTATAGAAACACAATAGAATCAACTTCAACTACACAACAAGAACCGAGGACTGCAGGATTATATCCTAGAAAGAAACATCGAAACCAGGAGCAAGGTCAACACCTTTGCCCTCGAGCATGCTCGCTGAGGATTAAACAACGAAACTCCCTTTTGCCGCCGTATTCTTACTGCAGCCACTTTAAAACGAAAAAAATCTCGGTGAATCATAGATCATTAAAAAACCCGTTACAAAGAGCTATTATCCTGCCATCACGGCCTGCTCATCATTTTCAGATCGGAAGAGTTTCATTTAAGTTCAAAACGAGGCGCTCAATCCACCGTTCAGTTTTTGTACATGGTATAACAAATACAACAAATGTTGCCGTATCCTTTTGCCAATTCTTCTTTTTTTTCTTTGAATCCTAAAACGTCTATGCTCCGTTGTCCCTTCATTCACTTAGATGTCGCTTTCTCTTTTTCTTCACTGACTCGCTTCGCTTCTTCTTCTTTGTTACATGACCTAACACTTCCAGTTCTGTCTCCTCAAGCCCAGGCCCCGAACGGAAAAACTCCCTCTCGTGCGGGTAGGGGGCCTCGGACCTAACATGCACCTTTTGTGGTGAACTTACAACAGATTTCTTCTGTCCTTTTTCGTCTTTTTTGGCACCAGGTGTGGGGATTGATTGACGAGCAACGGCATCTAAATTATATTTATAAAGTAAGATGTTTTTTTGTGAGAAATTTACTCAGTTAATCGGTTTTGATGCATTCTCATACAAAAAGTGCTACAGAAAACATTAAACGCTATAAAATAAATGACTAACGAAGATAGACAGATAAATCAATAAACATAAAAATAAAATCAGCAAGCCCTCCGTGACGAATGTCTTGCAACATGCTATGAGCCAGATAAGTAGCTATGTAAGTTAATCAAGGCTTCAGTTTTTCCAGCAGAGATTGTTCATTGACCACAACCTTTACAATTTCCTCGAAAGTTTTTGGTGAATTTTCTGTCTTATTTTTCACTGGTTATTTCGTAGACTTGAAATCGGATTACAGTTGGCTGTAATAGGACAGTTAATGCAGCTTATCATACTAAGTCCACTCAGCTACATCCACCAATCATAGAACTCATCACAACAACCATAGCAACAATCACTTACCCTACAAAACTGAAGAATTTCCAAAACGGAGGACTTTTTTTACCTTTTTCCACTACCTTTCCAAATTTTTTTTTTTATAAAAATTCAATAGTTATGATTGATTGGTAACAGGACTTCGTGTCCTTTAATTCTGTCTGTGATCATACTCGTGATTGGCAAATTGGATTCCCGCTTCGCGATCGGTTTTGTAATCACCTGTGTGATTATAAACGGAATTGGACTCCACCCGGTCCTATTCTGATCATGAACATTTGAGAAAAGAGACTGTACACATCCCCGCTTATGGAGAAGTACTCACCTGTAGTAGAGGGGTCGGTACAGGCCGCCGGTTCCAAGAACATCCTTTCTTTGACTGGTTGACACCCTCCACATGACCCTCCACATTCACCATACGCCATCGTGCCGTCCTCCGCCTTATGAACACTCAGCAACCGCTGTGGTACTTTGGGTGTGCCCCAGGCCTCCCAGTCCACGTCCTTACGCATGCGTAATCCCGTACCAGACAGATCCACTTGGAATTTACCCTTACGGCATTTGGAGGCGGCTGAGAAGCAGTCTCCCGCGCGGGCAAATCGAACCGGGTTGCCCTCGGTCTTGGCAAACTGGAAGTCATCTCTGTGAACGAGACCCGTCGAGGGATCGACACGAATTTTGTTAAACCTGGTAAAAGAGAAAAACAAAAACAAGAAAGCGTCGCTCGCATCAGTTGCAAATTTCTCTCTCAGATTTTCATGAGTTTCTTGTCATGTTTGGAGTTTTAGTCCTGAGTTATAAGCAAAACCTACCTCGTTGTTCCCCAGTAGTTTGCGGTCAGTTTGGGTTCAGGGTTGACAGAGCCAGAGCAAGATTCATAGTTGAGCAGCCTACCCCTGTAAAAACTAGCGAAGTTCCGATCTGGACCAGCGGGAAGAGTAATGTACTCACGGGGGGAGGCTGAGTCAAGGCCATGGCAGTACAAACGAATGGGATTGCATGAAGGAGTCATCTGAATGACGTATTCGTCATCTTTGAACCCGGGCCACATTTTTTTGACTTCGGTACAGCTCCCTAAAGGAAATAAAAGAAAAATGTTGTAATGAAAATACGTCCCCAGAAAGAGTCCAGAAAATCAAAATTTTGTACCGATGAGAATGGCATATTTCTCTGAAAGAAAAAGCGTTACTTACGAGGAATCTGATATTGCAGACTTGGTCTTAGAATTGGTTTCTCAGAAAGTACCGATGGTGCATTGGGGCATTCCAAAGTGAAGCCAACAGACAGGGAGTCCCTATTTATTCCTTCCTTATGCAGGGCCTCAATCCAGTAATACTTGCCAGCCTCCAGTGGAATGTAGCCAGACTGCTGAAAAGGATGACTGAGAAGGGAGAGAAAAAAAAAGTTGCGTCAAATTCTTATCGAGATTGCACGAAAGATTTAAGTATATTTTCCTACGACAGTAAAATCTGAGACCAAATGATGAGATAATCACCGATAGATTGAAAATAGAAGGAGCGAGATTTTCGTCGAGGAAGACTGACATCATTATGACAAAACAAAAAAGAGCGTATGTTTCTTACGAACGCAAAACCTACTCTGAAAACTTGTTGTGCCCAGTTCCTCTAACCACGGCAAACAAATCCTTGTCTTTCTCTCTCGACGACCCACTAAAGAACAGCTCAGCTTCATCATTACCAGACAAAGAAAACGAATAGGTTCCTGTATAGGGCGCCACAAAATAGCCTCTAATTCGGGATCCGTAATCGTCACCCTCGTTCTTAGGCGCATCGAAGTCCTCAATGATGGAGGTCTCAGACGGGTTGTTTGGATAGTCTTTCTGCGTGGCCAAGTCCGTTATTGTAGTGCCTTTTACTCCGCGCCAGACCTCGCGCTTTACGCCTGGGTACGGACCAACAAACTTGGCTGTTATGGGGAGAAGTTAAAACAAAACTAAGTTATAAAACATGAACTTTTAAAAAGAAGGCACGTGACAAAATGTGAGATTAATCTAAGAATTTCCACATCGTTGACGTAGTATCACGAGTAGTCTCCAAGACTGGCTGTCACAAAACCAGCCAATCAACGAAATTTCTCTGAACTGCAATAGAACGCCTTCAACATGAATGTTGTTGCCTTATTTAGAGTTCCAATCCTTCCGAAATGGTTGTCGCAATTTCTTCGTCTGAATCGACAAAACACACACGGCATCTATGTAAAGCAGAATTTCTTTATTTTTTTCTATTTCACTTTTAAATTTTAGATCATGTTTATATAGATTAAAATAGATTGTAACTGTAATAATAGATTGTAATAATATTATTATTTTATCTGATAGATTTACCGTGTCTAAATAAAAATAAAGTTCAAGTTCAAGTTCAAGTTCAAGTTGTGAGATATTTAGTTGATTTGTATTTGTTTGTAGTCGTAGGAGTTCCATACTAATTAGAAAAATATCAAAAACAGTAACAATGAAACTGATTAATGTTTTTTCCTTAGATTATTTTATGAAATTTCCTTCTAGAAACGGTTTCAATTGACGACAAACTTACGTATTCTGTGAGTATCCTTGAGGGTCACAATTTGATCGTCCGGGAGAGCACAGGGGAAGATATAGAACTCATCCAGGGTACCCTTAAATTGACGTCGAGGCCCTTCATCATCGTAAAAGGTCCCAATATACGCGGCCTTACTCCAATCGGTGTTCAAACCCTCAGTCTCTTGTGTATCCGTCTGTTCATAATTCTGAACAGCTCGTCCATTGATGTAAATCGTGGCCTGTTTACTGTTAGGGTTGTAAATACCCGCCAAGTGGACCCATTTGTTTTCTGGGATTCCCTCGATTGTGGTTCTCCCGTACACTGTCTTGTCCATGTTACGTTGGAAGAAGCGAACTTTACCTTTGTTCAAGATCTCGAAGTGGTACTGTCCCTGTTTCGAGGGATCTGTTATTCCAGGTGCTTCCGTTACGAAAATCTCGTTTATATTCGGGGCAGTCACGTTCTTTACCTTGACCCATGCTGATATGGTGACACCAAGAGTTGGCTTACCCTAAAATAAGGAAAAGTGAATACCTAAGCGAATATTCCAATGGAATTAAATGTAACTCTCGGTTGTGTGATTTAAAAGTCTGTCACGCAATACTTGCTACTTGAACCAAGGTTTTTCCCGTTCTGAGATATATCACGAATTCTCAAAACACCCTACCTTGAAATTCATTCCGTCCAACTGAATGAACCCGTCTGACAAGTCTACACCGTTGTCTTGGTTGTATCCCGCCTCGACCACCACACTCCCACGGGACATTCCGTTGTTGCCAGAGCCCGACTCGTCATAAACTTCCCCCGCGCAAAACTTGTCGAAGTCGTAATACAACACCGGCTGACAATTGAATGGGTAAGCTGTAAGGGAAACAAAAAAAAATGGTTGTCTCTCTTGTAGAGAAAATACAAGAAAAAGCGTGAGAAATGACTGGGCTTTTCAAATTACGGGAATTTAGATAGTATTTTGCAATGTTGACCATAACAGAAACTAAAAAAGTATACTCACGTGTTCTCTTATACAAGTTATTCATGTGTGATGCAGATGCTACGGGCTGGGAGGGAACCTGGGCAGGAGACACAACGTTCTGCTGCGCGGCAGGGACCGGGGAAGGAAACGGAGCTTGCGGTCGATTCTCACCCGTCGATGGGAACCCTGCTGCCACTGAAGAAAACAACAAGCACCCAATAACAGTAAGAAGTGAAAGCTTGTACAAAAGTCTGAGTAACTCATGATCGATTGGAGCAAACGCGCAAAACACTTGGAATTGACGGAGTTCGAGGAAATCGCCAAGGGTTCTTTGATGAAAACGCCTGTTTAGGACTCTCTCTTAGAAGTTCTGAATCACGATAAGGTTGGTATTGTGAACTAAAATTCATCATCTGACAATTCTTCGGATAACCTGAACAAATTACAGTAGAACGTAAAATCGTACGTTAAAATCAAGCGCCATCTTACCATTACAAATAATCTTGGTCACTTTCTCGGCTTCAGCTGGAGACTGAAGATCGTTAACCCGTACAGCATACTTAGGCTCCGTTGTCATGGTAGAAAGCTCTGACTCAGCGATACTTGGGCTACCTACAGCGATTACCTGAAATACCAAAAATAGAAAAAAAGACAACAACGATGAATGTTATTTTATGCTTGGAGCACAGATGTGGTAAAAAGAAACTGTAGCAAAGACATGATGTCCTCTTTCCTCATTTTATTTTTTTACCTTAACACCACTGATTTCCAACTGCTTAGCGAAGGACTCTAGACTCTTGGCGGCGTTAGTGTTATGATCGTTTTGGGGTCCGAGGACCGTCACCACAAGGGCCTTCGGGAGATGGGTCCTCACACCGCTAGACTTTGTGAACACTTCGAATTTAGCCATTTCCAACAAAATAACCTGAAAATTGATCGTAAATCCTCATTTCAATAAAAAATGCTTCGTAACAAGAAAACAAAGCTCGAAAGGCAGCACCCCAAAACCAAAAAAGCCTCCGATACCAAAGACAATTATCATACTTCAAGTGCTTTATAGCAAGCTCTCAAGAGGCAACCTTGACTCACCAGATTTCTGTTACCCAGATCACGTGGCAAGTCATCAAAAGCCTTATCGACCTCTTCTTTCACATTCCGCTCTCCAAGTTTCAAGTTAATTGAAGGTATAGTGGAATAAGCAACCACAGCTGCATGGGTTCCGCTCTCCTGTACATTAAAACCATCCGCAACTTTCTTCATGAAGTCTTTCTGTTGAGTCCATTGGATTGGAGTAACATCCGTAGACGAGTCCAAAGCAAATACGATATCCATAGCATGTGGACAAACTGTTGGAAAAACATTTTCGGTGTTACCATACATTTGTTTCATTTAAAGCAACCACGTGACTAAAACGTGACTATCACGCGAGTTCTCGGTCGGGAATTTTTCAAGATGTTGGTACTTAAACTTGTACTGAGCCCTTAAACTCAAATTCGTGACATTCACCTTCGCCTAAGGTAAAAAAAGATGTAACTGCTCTTTGGATATCCATCGTTCTCAAATGTATATTCTACAAATTACTTACCAAACGGCTGAGTGCTTGCAGGGCTCTCTGGGGTCACACTTTGGGCAACGCTCTCAGCCGACTGCAAGGGCGCACTTGGCTGTGCAGGCGCAGGTGGAGATCCGGCAGTTACTAGTGGCACAGCAGGCGCAGCAGTAGGAGAAGCTACAGCAGCCCCTGCTTGGCCAGCAGTTACATTCTGAGCAGGTGCAGTCGTGCCTTGTGCCACAGGAGCTGGGGCTGCTGGAACCACTGGAGACGCTGGAGCTGCTGGAGCTGCTGGAGCTGCTGGAGCCACTGGAGCCGCTGGAGCCGCTGGAGCCGCTGGGGCCGCTGGAGCCGCTGGAGCCGCTGGAGCCACTGGAGCCGCTGAAGGTTGTGGTGGAGCCTGAGGAATTGTGGCGTTCACTCCAGCTTCTGCCCCAACTTGAACAGGAGAACTGGCCGGGGCACTCGGCACCTGAGGAGCTGAGGTCGGTGTCAAAGATACGTTTGTTGGTGGAAGGACAGCAGTGACATTCTGTTGAGGAACTGTGACGTTTGAAGACACAGGCTCAGGCTGTTGTGGATACACTGGCTGTGATGCCGTGACATTAGAATACAACCACTGGGGGAGACCCTGCGGTTGTTGAGGGCCGACTTCAGGTGCACTTATGTTACCGTACCCCTCTTGAGGCTGCTGAGGCGTTGCTGTAGCATTAGAATAAACCGGTTGTTGCACTCCTGATACTGGATTGACAGGTTGCTGAGGAGGTATAGTTTGACTCATCGTCGCTGGTTGTTGTGTAGGCGTGGCGTTTGCGTAAACAGTTTGAGGGGATGGCGCTGCTGCAGAAACCTGTCCAGCAGGTTGTTGGGGTGACGTTACGTTCGTGAAAACCGGCTCAGTAACGTTTGAAACGGGATTTGTTGGAAGCGGTGCTGATGTCACGCCTGTACTTGCACCCTGGGCTGCAGAAGTAATCTGTTCAACTGGTTGTTGAGCGGAGGTGGCATTTAAATAAAGCTGTTGAGCTCCAACTGTTCCCTGAGCAGCCTGTAACGGAGCTGATGTCACACCTGCACTTGTAGCTTGTGAGTCAGAAGTAACCTGTTCAACAGGTTGCTGGATCGCTGTGACATTTGAGAACATCGCTTGGGGAGCGAGATCAACCTGTTCAACAGGTTGATGGACCGACGCTGGTGACTGAACGCCGCTTAAAGCCTGACTAGGCGATAGCGGAGCAGATGTTACACCCGCAAATGCCACTTGTGGAGCAGAGGAGACCTGTTCAGCAGATTGTTGAGTTGACACAGGAGCAGAGGTAACTTGTTGTTGTCCTGATGGCGTGTTCATGGAAGATGCTTGAGTTGGAGCATAGCCCTGGCTTTTCTGTTGACCTTGCATCGGAACAAAGTTGTTCATGGTCTGCTGCTGACCTGGTGTTGCTGGCATTACGGTCACTCCTTGATAGGTTGCTGGATAAGATCCGACGTGGAAGACTGGCACCCGATGAAGTGCGTGACCAGTGTGTGGCTTTTCGGTGACAATTTGATCAAGAAGGAATTCTGGAACTACAAAAATAACAAAGAAAAAAGAAAATGTTATAATATACCTCGAGCCTCACATATTGTAAATACGAAATGTTCGTGTTTGGAGCAGGTTAGCAACTAGTGGGATAATGCTGAAATCCCTTACAAGAAGGCATTTCTTTCATATTTCAAAATAATTAAATTCAAAACGGTATGAAACATTATGATCACTAGTTTTTCTGGGCAATTGCTTGTGTAGTGAGGGTATTACAAGACAATTTTTTAACAACTGAGTTGATGAAGTACATTGGCCACCGTAAAGAGTTTCAAAAGCTGAAGTTTCGAACGTTGACCCTCGTCAAAGCGAAAGATTTACTAGTTCACTTAAGCATATCCTGATATATTTTCTTTCCAAAGAAAACGAACGCAGAGCGGAATATTTACTCATATTTACTCATTTTGAATACAATCGTCTGAAAAAAAGTAAAACACTTTTTGGGTGCACTTTCACACAAGCACGTCAACTGTGTATGAGCAGTAATTCAAAACTTGCGCACAACAAATTGAAGATCACATTTCTTACCTTTACACGCGCTTTTGACAACCTTTTCAGCTATTGTGATAAGATCGTTGTACGAATCTACAGAAAATGTGTGGTTCGCGTCTGCGATCTTCAACAACTCGTCACGCTGGACACCAGACCCAACTCCAATAGCTACTGGAGTCACACCTCCGAACTTTAAACGGTGTACAATCCCAGCAATCTTTGCGTTATCTAATTTGTCAGATAGCACCACCACCAGCGCCCTCGTGACCTGATCACGCGACCCTCCCGCAGGAGTAAACAGCTCGTAATTGGCTATTTCCAGAGCGTCATCCAATCGCGATCCCTGGTCGCTTTTTGCTTCAGGGTAAATGTTATCAATAGCGTTCAGCACGTCAGACTGGTAATAGTAGCGGTTGAATTTCATCTCCATGGTGGCCTGGGAAGAGTAGGACAAGACGCCCACGTGGGTACCGGGGTAAGAAATGTTGAACGCATTTGCCACGCCCTTGGCAAAGTTCTGCACCTCTCGCCATTCCGTGTCGTTTATTTTTGAGGAAACAGGGAGAACAAAAGCGAGGTCTGTAGCTAACTGGCAAGCTGAGGAAAACAAATATTTATAGAAAAATGAGTTCGTCATTACTACATTTGGAGGGTTTTAAAAGGAAAAGTCATATCAAAAGTGAGTGAAATACTTACAAGGACAATCCTGAACCTTGCATTTTCGTGTCTCGGTACCAGTTCCTCTACAGTTTGCTCCGGTCAGACATTTCCGTGATCTCAAACTGACGCCAGTGCCACAAGTCTTCATACAAGGACTCCATTCAGTCCACGTGCCCCAGCGAGCTGGAACAGAAAAAGAAACACATCAGTTTACTAACAATGGAGTGATTAGATGACATGCATATCGTCAGCAATGCAATCAAGCCGCTCTACACTACAGTCCACAAGATTAGATGCATTACATGTTCAAAATACTAACGTGGAGGAGGAGGTGGTTTGGCTGAAATACAGAAAAAGAACAGAAAATCGTCATGTGAGTCATTTTTCCAGATTGATGCTCCATTTTTTATTGCATTAGAATTAACAGCTTTCAGCTAAGAATCATGCACATACGTACGAACGAAACGATGTCAATGATCACATGTAATATTATGTAAGTATTGACTGAGGAGGAGGGTCGAACCGGATAATATTTATCGGACCGAAGTAGTATCAAAACCCAGTGTTATAAATTTAGAAAACAATTGCGTCAATCTAAATAGGTACTCTACTTGCATACAAAAAAAGGGCGCAGTGGATCTCGCATGAAATGAATGAATGAAAAACTTTATTTAAGTGTCTTTGTTTTTAGCTATAAGCTAATGGGGGACACTAAAAAAAATTTAAAAGTCAATTACATTTACATATGTAGATGATAGTTATTTACAGTAGATAATTAAAAAGATTATAAAGTTATTTAGTTAAGTTTTAAATTTCAACGAGAGTTGAAAGGTCGACTTTTCTTATGTTCTTCTTGAACGAATTTAGAGTTTCTATCGTTCTTAGGTGTCTTGGATCACAAACAAAATATTATAGAGAAGAAACCATTTTTTTTCCCAGTCAGAGGAAAAACTCATAATTCATCGAGAAGCGCGCATTATTTCCTCGTTTATTTTAATTTCCACAATTTCAATCTACGTTCCCAAAAAGTGCAAAACGGCCGTGTAGTGCAGAAACGAACTGCTTTTTACGGACCAGCTCACATCACCTGTTCGGCCCTACACATGTCAGCTATCACTACTGTTTTTTCTATGGGGTTGCGAAAACGAGGCTGTACGGGTCATGTGATAATATGCTCTCCCATTCAGTTCATCATGGCTTAAAATAACTAGTGTCAGGTTGAAAGGGGGTAACCAGCTCAATCGTAGCACGCATGCAGATCAAGTGTAGCTGTTAAAACGTTGGGGACAAACCGTTCTTGTCTCAGACTAGCTCTAAATAAGCTCAAAAACAGAGGAAAATAAATACCATGCGGACAAGAAATTCGTTTCACGATGCGAAAAGCATTCACCTGTACAGACTGCGTCAGCCGCTGATTTCACATAACCAATAATGTCATCATATGACGCGACCAAGAATGCATGATCAGGATCAGAAGCCAGCTGTCTCAGTTCATATTGATCCACTTTGTCCCCAACCCCCAGAGCAACAATCGTGGCGCCATCCATATCCTTGAGTTCACGGGCGCGTTGCTCGGCGCGCTTTGCCGTGGTGTCAGGCGCGTCTCCGCCGTCAGTAACAATAACAATCGCTTTAGGCGTAAAGTCACGCGCTCCAGTTTCAGAGGTAATCAATCGATCACGCGTTAGTTTCAGGGCGCGGTCTGTGCGCGTGTCACCACGTGGTTGAGACATCGATTGAAGGAAGTCGTCCATGCTGTCGTAAATGTTTTTGTCTTCGAATCTCAATTCGAGATGGGGTAACGTGGAATAGGCTAGAATGGAAACTTGTGTCTTGTTGGGGGCAAGGCGGAAACCACTGCTGACACCTTTGACGAAGTCTTTTGTTAGCTTCCATTGAGAGTCATCTACTGTCCCAGAGGCATCAAGGACGAAAGCGAGGTCTATGGCCTTGTGGCAAACTACAACGACAAATAGTTTTATTTTCCTTAATCACTCATTCCCATCTGTTCTTTTTTTTTTGATCTGATAACTGACGCAAAGGACTGAGCAAATGTGACAAGTAAGCTTAATTTCTATATTAAAAGCAAAAAAACAATTTACACAAACTTTCGTTACACACCTGGACAATCCTGAACCTTACAGGCTTCAATTTCACGTGCGGAGCCCACGCACGTGGCTCCTCCTTGACACGTGCGTGTTTTGTCACGCCTTCCACCGGCACCACAACTCTTTGAACAAGCGCTCCACGCGGACCATTCACTCCAGAAACCTATGAATTCGAAACAAACTCTTCGTAAACTTTGATTCAAAATTCGTCTAAACTATATGCTTGATTTTCATTGTGCTTATAGTAAAATTAACTTAGGAACGCTGAAAAAAGAAACATTTTGCATTAAAGGTTTTTTAGTACCTTAACTCCGCCCAACATGACGGCCTAAGTAATTTTGATATCGACACCTTCTATGAAAGAGGTGGAGCTAAGCAGAGAACATTATCTTTATTCATCAAGATTAACCCCTGTAGTTACTAAAGTTCTGGTAATAGTCCTGAATCTGTTATAAACATAAGATGCAAGTTACCTGGGCAGTCATCTTCTTCACAATTGTGGAATTCTCTAGCGGGTCCCTGACAGAATTTTCCACCATACTCGGGTACGGGATCATTACACTTACGCATGCGCTCTTGCCGACCGTTGCCACATGATACAGAGCAAGGACTCCATGAGCTCCATGCGGACCAACGACCATTCACTAACAAAGAAAAATAATTGCTCAGTTAAAAACGCTCCAACAAAGACTTTTTTGTTCAGATAAGACTACTTTTCAGGAAAATGCTACCTTTACTGACTCAAATTCATGGAATTTCACTTACATGGACATGGCGTCATGCGGCACTCCGCTGTCTCATGGCCCTCTCCGGCGCAAGGTTTCCCGCCATTAGAAGGGGAGGGATTGTCGCACGTGCGCGTCCTGTGCACTGTGCCGTGACCACACGTGGCTGAACAAGTGCTCCAGTTCCCCCATGCGCCCCAGTTACCATCAACTACACAGAGAAAACAAGAGTAAAAAAATAAATGAATTGTGAGGGACTTGGCGTGAGGTTTTTTATAGGCTAGAATTTCAGTTTAAATTAACAAAAAAGAGCTCTGAGCTAATCACAAAAATGGCAACCACGAGAACAACATATAACAACCGCAACATAAATAGAATGGTAAGTATTGCGACCGGTAAAGAGAGAGATATATTTGTCGCCACGAGCGTGAGACAAAGAAAAAGTTCTAAGTCTCCCATGAGGAATCGAGACCTTCGGATTCCGTGCTCCGATGCTATGGTGAACAAGGTGTTGAAAGGACTTTGACTGTACGGAAGGTGTTCTAGAACATGTATCAAAGGAATTGTCGAAACCAGTGTCGAAACGTCAGTCACTACCACCGACAACAGTCCTTCTCAGGACTACACTCACCCGGACGATCAGACTACACCTTCACAAAGGAAATTATGTTATAACTTTTTGTTGATCAATGGACCTGCAATAGACTTCAATTCTCTAGTCAAAATAAATCCATAGAAAAGGCAGAAATCGTACTTGCGCATGCTCTCTTCTCGCAACCCTCCGCGTCCCTGTCCATTCCAATGAACGAACAGTCCATTCCTCCAAAGGCCGGAGGAGGATTGGTACAGTTCCTTGTTCGGAACCTCTCCCCAGTCCCACAGTTCGCGGAACAGTCGCTCCATTCGCTCCACTCTGTGTAATTACCTTGGACAGCTTTGACTTAAAAGAACAAGAAAAACACAACACGTGAACGAGCCGTGATACTGGATAATTGCTTTTGGAATTTATGAAATTGTATGATTTCGTAATGAATAAAAAGTAAACTTCAAAGCAAGTTTCTAGAGTAAATAGATTTTGAAATACAAATATTAGATATTTCAATGACTTTCCCTTCAAATTTGCTCACCATCATCCAAAGAAAACACATAGTTAGAATTCTCTTGTCCAGCACATTCCAAATTATTTCCAGTACACAGTTTCAATTCATTGTCCACACATCCAAGCAGTGGTTTGGGCTGTGTTGGCGCCATGAACAACAGTTGTTCTCCTTCTTGGAAATACGTGTCACCTGCGCGTTCACCGGACAAACATTCTCCATAATTCTGCAAACCAAACGTCCTGTAACCTTTTCTCTGAATCTCGCGGGCGCATCTGTGAAAGTAGACAAACAAAACGTCTAATTTTCCCAGTTACAGTCACATCAATTCCTGCATAACATCACATGTTCTGTCTGACAACACTTCTCAGACGAGTCTATGCGTATCTTTCCTGAATTCGAGTCTTCCCGACATATTTTTACCTTTTTTTACCTTTAAAACAAATCGGTTCAGAGATACTTTCATTCCAGCAAGCGCAAGACATTTTAACTAACATTTATTATAATTGCATATGTAAATTAGTTCCCTTTTAGGTTTGATTTTATTGTATAGTTCTATTACATAATTTGTACACCTTTGCAATTCAGCTTCCAGCTGCTATTAAGGTATTCTTAATAAACGTTTATCTATCTATGTTTTCATTCACTTAAAGACACTTTCAAATCGGTAACGAAAGAAATCCGCGAATGCTTCGGTGTTGCTTTACTTCGCTCTGTGATTGGTCCTGAATACTCGCACCACTCTCTCAACCAATCAGATGCAAAACTGATGCTTGGTCGCCTGCGTTTTCCCGCGCTTAATGAATTTCGGTTGGTTTTACGTTGTTCTCATTGGCTCTTAACAGTATTTTCCTTTATTCTGGTTGCCGTCGTTTTACGACAGTCAATCGAAAAGCGCTCTACATGGCGACTCTATAGATTTCTTGTTCTTTCCCTCGTTCGCAATCGACTTCAAAACGTCTATTTCCTTCTTATTTCCGTCTTTCGAAGAAAAGTACAAAGAGAGCGAAGTGATTCGACATCTTTTTAGCTTTTTCAAATCATACAATTCCTCTCTCTTACAGAGAAACAGTAATGTATTTTTCAGGGGTTCGAAAAAACAACATTTACCTGCAGATGGCGTCAGACAGATAGTTCGGCCAGTCTTTGAAGTCGATCTTCTCCTGTGGGTCACTAAACAGCTGCTCAGGGAGGGGTCGGTACAAGTTGTGATTTTCGCGATAACAACCCAAAGCCTTATACGGAATCTCACCTGAAAAAATTAATGATTAGAAAAACACAGAAGAAGAAACGAAATTAATACAGATTCACAAGACATACACTAGCTGTAAATCTAATCTAAATGGAAAATTTCTTGCAGATAACCATCATTAAACAAACTTTACCAAAGAAACGCCCCTCCTAAACTTCCCGTATGTTATCTTAGCTGTGCGCAAAGGCTTGTCTGCAGAACGAAGAACCTTCTAAAATTTGCTCCGCGACACCTGCGGCTCCGTGGCTAAGTTGTTACTAGTACCCAAACTACTTTCCTAATTTGTAAATAAGTAGATGGCCTGATTCACACAAGATTTCTCTAAAGCTGAGTTGGTAGAACATCATGCTATGAAAAGGAAGGTCTACCGATGTAGTCAAAGGGTCTCTGACTTCTTTCTTCACAATCTATTGTGTCCATAGTCAAATTATAGACTTTTAGTAAAGCCCCTCTATACTTACAGCAGTCCTGTAGCTTGCAAGCTTTCCTCTCCACACTATCCCCTACACAGTCAGGCCCACCATAGGAGGGTGGGGGTGCAGTGCAAGTTCGTCTTCTGGTCGTACTTCCGCTTCCACAGGATCGACTACAGGAAGACCAAACTGACCAGCCGGACCAACCTCCGGGTTCTAAAGGAGAAGTGGAAACAAAATTAGGAAGGAAGACCTTCTTTATTCCATCACAAAAGCCTTCTAGTTCTTTTGGATTCTCGTAAAGCTGAATTTATTGCACGAGTTTAGTACCATTTTAAGCGTGATATCGCTGTTGGAAGCGAATTGACACCATTGATCAGGCCGATGTACATGACTCTGTCACGATCTGTAAAGCTAGCGAAGGTGATTCAGTCACGGTATGTCACACCATCGTAAGAAATTCATACAAGTGCTGCCACAACAATAAGTAGGACTTCAAACCACTGATCCGTAGTATCAACTGAACCATTGATAAAGGTTTCATAAGTTATAAACATTATCTCTGTAATACTTACGAGCACAAGGCCGTGTGTTACACACATCTGACTGGACTGTGTCTCCCAAATGAGTGCAGTTGAGCCCGCCAAACTCAGGTACAGGGTTGGTGCAGGCACGTGACCGTTCTCTATGACCACCACCACAAGTGACATCACACTCGGTCCACTTGCCCCAGTTCGTGTACCCGCCGTTGACTAAAACAGGTTATAATGACAAAATACACTTAATGCTGATTATATACAAGACATCTTTGAATCTACTGATGGGACTTACATCGAATCAAGTGTCATCCGCGGAATATCTCGACGAATTCTATTTTTTTTTTGTTACACCGCTGAACTCGCACTCATAAATTCATATAAACCATGACTTCCTGAAGTCAAACGTACTTGCTTGCCTCATTCACACTTCATCGTTCATATTTGTTGAAGGTTAGTTTGCCACTTGAAAATGAACAATGGAAGCCATGGGGCGCCTTCACTTTAACCCATTAACTCCCATGATCTGATTATTCACTCTCCCCTCTAGCTGCTATATGTTTCGTTGTAAATCAGTGACGAGGATTTTAAGTTAGCTCAAGACAACGAGTTGTACCTGATAAGTTCGACGATTCTCATTACTTTTTCGCTGGATATCGTATGGTTAAAAATAAGAAGTTACCTTTGGGATTTTTAAGGGTTAAAATTCAACTTCTCACGATAAAGATAACTCAAATAAAGACCCACCCATGCATGGCTGAAGCTTGCAGTATTCTTCCTGCCTCTCTGGCCCCTCGCATGTTTTCCCAGCGTGCGCAGGAGGAGGGTGATCACACCCGCGTGTCCTCGAGCGCTTAGCAGCTCCACACGTAGCTGAACACGCAGTCCAAGGAGACCACAGACCCCATTTACCGTCTACTGGGCAGTCTGATAGACTGCAAGGCATAGTCTGTCTGTCTGAGCCTGGACAGTTTTCTCCTCCAAACTTGGGCGGCGGGTTGTCACACTTGCGCATGCGCTCGCGCTTTCCTGGTCCACACTTGACAGAGCAGAAACTCCACATGTTCCATGAGCCCCAGTTTCCGTGTACTGAAATGACCGAAAAAACTGAGTAAGTGAAAACGAACGATGAAATTGAAATCGCTTTTTGGGTAACGAGTTGGTTGCCGTGACCGCCTCTTCTTTCATCGCTCTCTTCCGAGCGTGAGTTTAACGAATTATTAAAGGATGAACTCATTTTGAGGTCGAAAAGCTCTTTGGCATAGATATTGGTTGACTTCTAACGAAATATATCTTTACATCAGAAAATTGTTATACCTGGACAGGAATTAGGATTACAATGAACTTTCTCGATTTCCGACCCAATCTCTTTGCAGTCTCTGCCGCCGTAGCGGGGATTGGGGTTGATGCATTCTCGTTTCCTTGTTTTGATGCCGCCACTACAAGATCTGCTGCACTCGGACCAGTCTGACCATTCAGAGTAATTTCCATTGATGGCTAAAAAAATAAAAACAAAACAAAACAACGGTTTTAAGATTGTACCAAGATATACTACCCAAACCGATACCTCTAGTGCTCAAAAAGCCTTTCGTAGATAGGTCTTGTTTCCTTTAATAACGTCGAGGAGTGTCTTTTTGTCTGCGTTGCGTTAAGTTACGATAAAATAGACCAAAGCAAATGTCAGGTCTGTCGCCTTCTTTTGTGTGTAACACAACAGAGTACCAATACGCGGTCAAACGTGTGCGCATGTGCAAACGTAATAACAAGGTCGCGTGCTGTCAGGTTGTCAGAACCAAGTTGTCTGCAACGAGTTAGAAACAGCTACACAAGCCAGTTAACAAGTCATGGTGTTTGGCAAGCGTATAACATTTTTGCTAAAGTTAAAAAAAGGAAATGGTTAAACTACAGGATACCCGTTCGAGAATAACCTTTGTGTTCAAAACTTCTCGAGTCTTCCTTTTCAGATTTCTCTGAACGTTTCAATTTCCGTTCGCTTATTTTGTGAGACAACGGTTGTTTTTTATGTTCCCCTTTTTTTGCCCCGGAAATATGCGCGTAGACGGCCAGAATTGTTCCCCTCGCGCATGCCCGACGTTTGATCGCTGTACTGTGTTCAGAGTAGCAGAAGACTCCACTTACGACATCTCCTCACTGTACACGGCTTCACTTCCACCTCATCGCCTTCACAAGAGTAACCACCATTGCTTGGTTCAGGATTCTTACAGACACGAGTCCTTAACTGAAGTCCATCCCCGCATGTAGCTGAGCATGCTTGCCATGCGCTCCACGCTGACCAGCTGCCGTTTACTACATTAAAAAAATATTTCGACAGGTTAGAAGTTTAACCCTTGACATGACAGCCTCTGCCATAGTTTGTTTAACACGCTTACAGCTTTTTAAATTAGCATTCATCATCTTTTAAGGGAAGTTTCTTGGCAGATGATGGAAAATTCTAAAGCGAAGATAGGATTTATAATTGCTTTTGTACTTCTAGCAAATAAACTTATTTCAATTTACCAAGAACCTTTTTCCAATAAACAAAGCTATTGAAATCCATTCTAAATATCAACTCGTGTGCTAGTTGACACGTTCGAACTTACCTGGGCATTCTCCTTGGTTACAAGACAACTTCTGTTTTGCTGGTCCCAGGCACAGTTGGCCGCCGTTGGCCGGGGCGGGACTGTCACAGAGTCGGCTCCTCTCTTGCAAACCTTTGCCGCAGGACTTTGAACACGTGGTCCAGTTGCTCCACGCGCTCCAGGCGCCATCAACTAAAAACAAAAACAGGGGTTAACTCGGAAATCTAAAATTTGTCATTCAGTTTTCTGACACATCTGGGAAGCGATTGCTTTCCTTGAGGGCAGAGGACCTATAAATCGAGGAAAAACTCCAAATGTAGGACGAATAATGGTAAAAAAGAAAGAGATTTCAAGTGGTCCAAAACAGTCCTTTATTTTTTGAGTGGGTTTTCTTCTACCCATTAAAACGAAGCGAACGGCAGTTGGAGGGCAAGACAAAGCAAAAGTAAAGAAAACGCTATGCACACTTTCTTTGTTCGTTTTCCAGCAAAGAGATAAAAGAAAAGGAATAAAATAATTACCTCGCGGAAAGTAGGAACGAAAAGAAATGTTCACGCCAAACCACATTCGATTCACATTTTTTCCTCCACGATTTTATGAAGTAAAGTAAATCGCAAGCCGCTTAAAGGTAGGAACTACAGCATTTACATAAGCCAATGACAAAAAAAAAAGGTTTGTTTGTTTCTTGAACCCTCGGTCTTGGTGTCTTTTTTTCATGAGCACCATTCTCATCAACACTTGTTTCTTGCTGAAGACATTAGAATATCTTTAAGATATTTATCTCCAAAACTTGCAAAAAAATTTATCTACCTGGACAAATCATTTTGGTATTGCAAGGCTCGCTTTCCTGAGGCTCTCCAATAGCGGAACAGTCCTTGCCACCATACGCAGGGACCGGATTGGTGCAGTTCCTTATACGTGATCTTACCCCGCCAGCACATGATTTGGAGCATAGCGTCCAAGGGGACCAAGGACCATAATTTCCATCCATGGGTTGAGCTGTTAAGAAACATCGCGTTCGTAAATCTACTTTCAGATACGTCCGTCTTTTTGTTTACAGCAAAAAAATTTTGCTGTAAGCTCACAAAAAGGCTCTCCTTTCTCATAACCATTTTTACGAGAGCTACTGAGTCAAATCTGTACTATACAATTCAACTTACATTTTCGTCTCGAATTAAAACCATTTAATCTTTTGACTCTGAGAGTGAGTAGGTAAAGTCTGTTTACGAGCCAAGTGGCCCATCAGGCCGGCGCTTGACTACGGTTTCTGTAGCATGAAGCGACTAGGAGTATTTCTACTCCCCCCTGGA